AGAGAGAGAGAGAGAGAGAGAGAGAGAGAGAGAGAGAGAGAGAGAGAGAGAGAGGAGAGAGAGAGAGAGAGAGAGGGAGAGAGGGAGAGAGAGAGAGAGAGAGAGAGAGAGAGAGAGAGAGAGAGAGAGAGAGAGAGAGAGAGAGAGAGAGAGAGAGAGAGAGAGAGAGAAGAGAAGAGAGCNATAATGAACAGTAATAATGATAATAATGATAACAATAATATAATGATGATAATGATGATGATAGCAACAATAATGGCAGCAGCAGCAACAACAATAAAGATGATAACAAGAACCACTCAGAGAGCGCATACCTCCGCCAAGGCAATGGGGTCGCTGATGCAATCAAATTATTCACTCTCAGATAATTACATTAAAATCACCTTTCTCAATTACACAGGTGACGTCCGTAAACACAACCTCCCAGGCGAAGGCAAGGTGTAGCTAAGACACTCCTTGGGTAAACTCTTAAGAAAATATATATTCATAACTTCTTTGAGTTATCTTACTTCTCAACAAACAAACAAACAAACTAACTAACCAACGCAACCAAAAACAACCTCATTAGCGGATAATGTTAACAATAATACCAATCATAGTATCAATGTTAACAATGATAATGATGATAATAGTGCCAATGATTATGATAATAACAGTTCCAATCATAATGATAATAATTACATAGTAGTAACTATTAGGACTACCACGACGAGTCATGATGGTAATAGCAGAAATACCAGCACCATGGCCAACCATTAAGGAATACGCGAGCTGGTGGTTCTACGCCAGAGTCATCAAGAACCTACGCAATGTCCACGCAAGTTGATACGCAATGGCATGGTTCTGACGGAAGGACTGCTGGCTGACGTAATGGCAGTGCGTCGGAATCGTTGCGGAGGCAGTTGCAGCAGCAGGAGGAACAGTGGTAGAAACACTATTTGCAGTAGTAACAGTATAGACAGTTGTAGTTGTAGTAGCAGTTATAGTAGTAGTATTATTGATAGTAATTGTAGTAGCGGCTATAGTAATAGAAGTGCGCGCGTGTGTGTGTGTGTGAGAGAGAGAGAGAGAGAGAGATCACTATAGATTGATAGATAAATCAGTAGATAGATAGACAAATAGCTAAACAGATAGACAGATCAATAAAGGATAGACAGACATAGAAAAACAAATAGATAGACGGATATATAAAAGATGAAAATAAAGATAGACAGATAGATAGGTAAACATATAGACAGACACAGATATACAGAATGATAGACAGACAGGAAAACAAACAAATAAACATTCAAACAGATCTAGGCAAGTAAATCCACACTCACACACAGAACCCCACCAAAGACCCGTGTAAATACTTGAATGGAACGCCGCCACTCACGCCTCACTCAGATAAACCCTAAGGCTACCTCGCTCTCCGGAATGCCTTATCAACTCGACATCACTCTCTTGCATAAGAATTTGGCTCAGCGGGTGAATGGAGGGCGAAGTACACTGCAATATGCATGTTGCAGGATGCGTGATGAATGCTGGTTTACTCATTGTTGCCAGGAGGGGTTTGAAGGCCGTTCTTTAGTTTCTTTGCAGAGTAGTTGCTTTAGTGGTAATAGTGGTATTGATGGTGGTTGTAGTAGTGGTGGCACCAGAAGTAGTAGTAGTAGTAGTAGTAGTAGTAGTAGTAGTAGTAGTAGTAGTAGTAGTAGTACTACTACTACTACTACTACTAGTAGTAGTAGTAGGGCAGTGGTGGTGATGATAATGGCGGTGGAAGTAGTAGCAGTAGTAGTAGTAGTAGTAGAAGTAGAATTAGTAGTAGTAGTAGTAGTGGTGGTGATGGTGATGGTGGTGGTAGTAGCAGAAGTAGTAGTAATAGGAATAGTAGTTGTGGCAGTAGTAGTACCAGTACTAATGATAGAAGTAGAGCTTATTATAATAAAAATCACACCATTATTATTATTTCATTGTTTTTACAAATTCTCAGGAATGGAAATTTCATTCTGTCTTCTTGCGGAAAACTCATTCTTAGATCAAACAAAAGAAATAGTAGCAGCAGCAACAACAATAGTAGTAGTAGCAGCAGCAGTAGTAATTCCTGGCTAGAGGCCAATGGGAACTAGGGAAGCGCACACACGGATCGCCAGAAAAAATGTATGAAGGAGAGAGCAAAGGCCGATCTCTGTGGGGAATCCGGAAGCAGCCATGGCATGTGCTTGGCCGTCATGCACGAGGACGATCAGCGGGCCATGCAGTTGGGTATTTATCTTGACAAAGGGTGAATGTGAAGCAATATGGTCGACTGATGCTCCTAAGTTCTTAATTTCAGTCGACAACTGTGTTTATGATATCCAAAAGGGTTGTTCCGCCTCTATTCCACTCTGTCCATTAATTATGTCGAAACTGGGAACGGTAAAACCAAGGCCATGTCAGCTATTGGGACATCCCAGGCTGATCCAATAGCCAGGGTAAGGTACGCATAGGAACTAGCATGACAAAATATCCGTGTTGCCATAAATAATTTCCTTCTGATTAATATCATCATATATCTATCAGCAGAAATAGCTGCCGTATGCATCAACATCACCAGTATGAAATAAGTAATTTATCGACTTCATTGGGACACGACTATCACTCCAGATTTCAAGGCTGCACGATCTGACATTCAACATTGCCGCCACTGCAATCATTTATCATTATCATAAACATCTAAATGATATCATTCTCGTGGTATTCCGCATATGGCCTTGACTGCCATCTCATGGATATTACTACAGTGTGCGACAAATCATATGAATAACTATAGGAATATTTGCTTTTTGGCAGTTTTTTAAGAAGAGGAAGGGATTTACGATGAGGAGGAGGAAAAGGGAAGAGGATAAAGAAGAGAAACATGAGGAGAACAATAAGGATGGGGATGAGGAGAAGAATGGGGAAGAGGAGAAGAAAGAGGAGGAGATATAGGAAAAGGAACATGATAGTGATAATGAGGGGGTGAGAATGAGGAAGAGGATGAAAATGAGAATGAAGATCAGGATGATTGATATGACAGCGAGATGTGAGAAGGAGGGAGGAGGAGGCGGGGGATGGAAGAAGATGAACAGAAGAGGAAGAGAGATTATAGAATAGGACATGATAAGTGATAATGAGGCAGGTGAGATGCAGGAGTGAAGAGATGAAAATGAGGAAGATCAGGATTAAGAGAGGAGGAGAAGATAGATGCAGCGAAAGATGTAGGATGACGAGTGACGATTGAGGAGATGAGTGATGAGGAACAATGATGGATGATGAGAAGAGGAGGAGTAGAAATAGGAGAAGAATGCAGAGCGGAGAGAGTGAAGATGAAGGAATGAAACAGAAAAGGATAAATAAGAGTGGAATGGAATAAGAGAGAATAGAGGAGAGTAAGAGGAGAGGAGTAGAGTAAAAGCAGGAGTATGAGGGGTCGATAAAGAAGGAGAGAAAAGAGTAGGAGGGAAACTAGAGGAGGAGGAGAAAAGAGGAGGAGGGAGAATGAGGGAGGAGGGAGGAGGAGGAGGGAGGAGGAGGAGCAAGAAAGGAAGAATAGAACAGATAAAAGAGAGAAGAAGAAAGAAGAATAAAGAAACAGAGAGATGAATGGAGAGAGGAATGAGAATAAGAGGAGTAAGAATAGACGAGAGAGTGAAAAGTAGAGCAGAGGTAAGAGGTAGCAGATTAGAGAAGATGGAGGAGGAGGAGAGAGAAAAAGTAAGAGAGAAAAGAGGAAGGAAATGGAAGTAAAAAGGAAGAGGTGAGGAGAAGAGGAAGAGGAAGTGAGGAAGTCGAAGAGAAGAGATTAGATTAGGATGGAGTAAGAGGAAGGGAGGAGTAAAGTAGAGTATGAGAGTCGATTAAGAGAGGAGGAGGAGGTAGAGTAAGAGTAGAAGTTAGAAGTAGAGGAGTAGGAGTAAAAAGGGTAGGAGGAGGAGGAGTCAGTTACAAGAAGAGAGGAGTCAGAGTAAGAGGAAGAGGAGGGAGGGGATATAGAGTAGGAGGAATAAGAGGAGGAAGAGGAGGAGGAGGAGGGAGATAGGGAGTAGGAGAGAGGAGAAGAGGAGGAAGAGGAGGAGGAGGAGGGCGCGCCGGCGTCGCGTCCCTGGCAGCGCCGGCTCTTGGCCGCCACGCAAGCCGGACCTTGGCACCGCCGTCGAGGGCCGAGTGCCAGAGCGCCTCGAGTACCGAGGCAACCTGGCACCCGCATTGCATCCTCGCGAGCAAAATCATTGCGTTAAGTTGCAGTCTCCTTGCGCCTCTGACCTCGCCTTGGCCGGACATCGGGGGAGATTTCTTTTGTCGTATCTGGTTATTGTCGCGTTGAGTTGAAGCTCTGGAAGGTATTTTTTGTATTGCTGAATTACTAAGTTGTTTTAGAAGTCTATTGTGTTGTATTTTGAAATATTCTATTGTATGTTGCATTGTTGTGCTGTTGGATCCTTATATTGCTGCATTTGTGAATTATTGTACGGTATATGGTATTGTTCTATAAGTGCATTATTGTTTTATCATTGAAATGATTTA